TTATACATAATCCATTTTACTTGAACGAGTAAACACGTACGGTTAAAATTGTTATTAAAATTGATAGTGTATGACTGTAGGTGGCATGGTAGTTATGTTTGTGTAAAAATCATCAGTATTAAATATCTGTTCGGTGATTTAAATATTTTATATTTTACACAATTATAATAAGTGACATAAATTAATTAAACAAATTTCGTAAGAAATTGGTGGTAATAAGTGGTGAGTTCAAAACAACATTCTTCTTTTTTCTAACTTTAGTTGATTATAGTAATATTATTTAAAAATTACTGACCGATAATATTGACAGTCATAACAATAATATTTAACAGTGCACTTGGACGGTAACGGAGTGAATACGGCACGATATGCGTGCATTTATGTTAGAGCTTTTCGGTCGAACTAGTCTCCCGTCGTTAATGACAGCCAATGGTAAAGTTTTATAATCTACCACCCAGCAGCTATAAATCTTCTGTGATTTTCAATACCTCTGATTTTTTAATTCTTAAAAATAATCGACAAGTTAATTGCATCTCCACTGGATCTTACCTTAATAAAAAAAAAAAAAAACGCCGGCAGAATTGTATCATTGGTTCAAATAATTACTTAATAAGTACTCATACAATTTACTTATTTAGCAGTTTTTCAAAGCCATTACAATATTTTCTTAGAAGATCTCTTTACTTATACAAACCGAATATGAAATTAGCTTATACGAGTAGTGCAAATACATTTACATACATATATATATATATATATTTAATTTACATATTAATTTCATTACGAAATTTCCATTAGAAATATTTTCACCAATATGTTATCGATCGATTACATTAAAATGTGAAAATCGCAGTAGAACCTTAACCGTCATGCTAAATCAAAGTTCAACTAGGTAAGAGTAAGTTGCTTCATAGTACTCAACTGCCAGACATAGTGCCATGTTCGGAACTTTAGTGACAACACCCTGCGATGTGTAAAATCATTCCAAATGCGATTTTTCAAGTTTTGTTTAGTGGCCTAACTTGTGAATACATAAGACCTTCAACTACTATTTTAATATGTGCATTATGCTCATGAAACTAATCTGATTTTCTACAAATAATGTCTTGTTTATTATCGAATAATATCTCTGCAGACATTTAAAAGAGGTAATACTAACTTAAGGACTCAAACTTTTTTTAATAAATTTCATAAATTTATGTACAATCTCGATAAAACTTCGTTTATTAAGTAATCATAAATTGTCAGTTTGTATGTTTCAAACAAACTATTAATGTTCCTAAAAAAACGTTATCAATTAATTTAAATTAATTATAACTATACAATATTATAATACAATGTATAATCTTCAATAAGCATATAAAATTCAGTTTGGTGTTAGTAGTTTTTAAATAGTTATATATAGGTTAGGTTATAAATAACTATTTAAAAACTACTAACACCAAACTGAATTTGATATGCTTATTGAATATTATACATAGTATTATAATATTGTATAGTTATAATTAATTATACAAAAATATATAAATCTATAGTATTTTGTAGTTAAAAATATATATGATCTACTATTATTCTCTTTGATACTTCATTCTAAAAATTTAAGGTTAAACTAATATTTAATTAAACTAAATATTTTAATAAAAATGTATCATGTCAAAAGGTAACCTAGAAACTAGACGGTTCGACAAATTAATGGTTACTTTTATATTTCCAAAATACAGTGCATTTTTTAATAAATACATATTAGTTTTATGCTTGATAAGTCAAAATGAAATTTTCTTTAACATTTTTGTAGTACAATCTTTTTTTACCAATCACAATTGTCATCATTTTTGTTTTATTTTTTCAGTTCCTTATTGAATACAAATATTTTTTAGTTAAAATGACATCACCCCTATACTATAAGGTATTTAAAAAAATATAATTTTTTTTCTATATTTAAAACAGAAAATTAAGATTTTTATTTTAAATAATCACAATTATTATTATTTTTAAATAATATTTAATAATATTTCAAAAATAATTATTATATTACATATATTTAATCGATAAAAATGTAATATATAATTTATTTATTTAAGTATTTTCAATGAAATTTATGATAGTTACAATTCACAAATATTTCCCTGATGAAAGACTTTAGTAATGATCTGTAATTACTTTTACGAGACTTTTCTAAGATCACATTACTAACTTTATGTAACTTAACAAAATTATTGTTTTTATGAATCAAAATAGTAAACGATTTTAATCTTATATTTAATCTTAATAAAATAAACGTTAATTATCAACAAGTTCAACAAATACAGTAATTATGAATATAGATTCATAAATATTTTTATAATGATATTATGATATAAGTTATATCATATTACACACTTGTTATCGATGCATATTTGAAATAATTTAAAAAAATTGGTGTTATACCTAAATTAACATTTTGATTTCCTGTCATAACCTCAGAGAAAGTTTCAATAGTGTTATATCCTTCATTTTTTTCTAAGACATATTTTAATTTATCTTTAACTATTTTCCTATTGAGACTGGAAATATTTATCGAAATAATTTCAATTTCACTAAATACGTTTAGTTGGTCTTTAGATATAACTTATTAAATTAAAATTTGAGTGACATTTTAATATATTTCTAAATTGTTTTTTTCAACAGTATCTCATTGATGGTTATCAATGTAAGACCGTTCATTTACTACTTAATAGTGTTACTTAAGAAAGTAGTTTTTAATAGTATTGCATTAATATGATTCCAGTTGTTAATTGCTTTATCGAATAATTGAGGTAATATAATTAAAAAATATTGATTCATACGACCATAATTTAAATTACATTCAAATATCTTACATCTTATACTTATCCAACTGTCAAATATATTATATTTGTAGAACTTAACAGAATAAAATATTCTTGTAGTTAATGGGCATATTTTTAGTTTAAAAAATAAAAAAAATGTAAATAAATTTGAGACTAAGTGAGATGATTTTCACATCTAAATTAATCATACTAAAAGTTTTCCTAATGAAATCGGACTAATTTAGATAAATTCCTCATATTTTCATTAATCAATAGACAACAAATAATAAAAGTTAAATATAAGGAGTCAGTTTTGGGAGGAAAATTAAAAAAAGGCAAATAAATTTTGAAAAGTTTAGAAATCCTTTAATTATAAATTTTAATATAAATGATTACGACTTATAAGTACTTATTTTTCTTCAGAGCTTAAAATATAACTTCATTATGTAATTTCATACAATACTAAAACAACATATAATTAAATTCGCTGTTATACTGCAATATAAACTTTTTAGAATTTAAAAGTGTTATAGGTAGTTGTATAAATTAACAATGCTCTGCTTCAAAAGTAAAAATAAAATCATGATAAGTACTTGAAATAATAAATAAATAAAATTTTCATAAATTTCGTAATACCTAATAATTAATGATGTCAATTTTTTTTCTCCAAATCTACACAAAAAAAGAATTTCATTCAAATTAGTCTCTCGAGACTGAATGTCATATGAGTTGAGCTAAATTTCTATCCAGTATACATATATTTTATTTCATTCCCTCAGGAATAAATGGAAATCCGTATTGAAATATTTTCATCTGCCCCCCCCCCCCCACAAAATAGACTAGAAATAAACAATTTTTGTACTACGAATTTGAAAACGCGTCGACCTTTTGTTATGATTTGTAAAAAAAAAAGGTTTTTGTCCAGTAATATCTTATATATTTATTAAATAATATTATGCCATACCGATTATTAACTAGATAATAAAGCCATTATTATTATTATTAATATTGTATAACTGTTAAAAATATTTTTAAATTTCCTATAATTTTTGTTAATCTCTAATTATATGCAAGATAATATATTTTCTGTATATTTATATGTTAATACACTTTATATACTTTCTACACTACATTAGACTTTGAGAGGGTAATAAAATAAAAAATGTGATAATAGGTATAATATAAAAATGTGTAGTAATCAGTTTCTTGATATATATATATATGTATAGACAAGACTATCTTGAGTGACTGATTCATAATCAACGCAGAGCCAAACCTATTGGAACTATTGATTTTAAATTTTGAGGGTGGCTTTTTTTTGCTAGATTATGGTCACAAATTTATGCGTGTAAAATTATAAAATATTCAACTCTATAAATTTAAATACACTAAAAACGTTTATTAGTGGTATTTAAATTATTAATGAAGATATTTTTTTAAATTGTTTTTTTGTACTTCTTTATATTTGTAATACCATTTTATTTTATTAAATATTAATGTGCATACAATTTCAAATCACCATTAAAATCTGACATTTATACGATTGAATGCTAAGTCATTATACAACTTCTTTTGTAATCCATAATACATATATTGTCAGAATTTTTAATGTGAACATTTAATTAGGTGATTTTTCTTAGAAAATTATAAGGAGTATTGAAACGAAATTTTTTCGTACAACAAGTAAACATATATAATTTATTTTAAATAATATTTTATTTAGTACAACTAATAAGTTGTTTTTTTTTAATAAGATACTAAGAAAAACTTTTTATTTTCACAAAATTTGAATACTTGACAGATTATAAATATGGAGACAAAAAACAAAGAAACAAGTGGTACGCAGTTTAAATATATAGTTATTTAAGAAGGTAAATACATGGAGAAACATAATAATATATAATTATAACCCATAGTCTTAAAAAACATTTAAAAAATATTAAAACATGTTTACTCCTCAGCTCTAGTTTAATATATTTTACTGAAGGTCTAATAGAACAACTTCAACTACATAATTGAAATAAGTAAATATTTTAAGTAATTTACACATAAACATTTTCAATTTCTTATATCATGACGATATTCAGTTTCTAACTATAAATAGTATTCATATACCTAATTGTGTATAACACACAGCATATACTCTAGTAATTAATAAACAACATTTGAAATATTCTGATATACATATCTTACTTTCTACGATGAGTTTCGTTCCATGGCACGTAACTTTTACTTCTATTCGTCCTCGTCGTTCTGTGTGATCACAACCGCATAAATTTGGAACGCTCACTTGACATCTCTTGTGAACATTCATGTCACATGCTACATTTTTATGTACAACAAAAAAAGGTTTAATTAACACTTATAAAATCATTATAAATTAAATGTATTCTACTTAAAATAAAAAGTTTTGAAAAAATCAGTAAGAACACTAATAATAAATTTTAAAAAAAATTACATATAAAACAACATGCATTAACGATTCGAAAATATGAATTTCCATGCAAAGATACAAATAAATGTAAAGGCAAAATACAAGTCTCGATGGGTTATAAATGAAATAAATAATACCTAAAGCTAAGAATTAGTATAGGTAAATCGAAAAGCTTTATCAGCAGAGCTGTACGCCATTTTAAAAAATATATCTAAAATAAAAAAATAGATTAGATGGTAAATAATTTCAAACTATTGAAGGACAAGAGTTAATAAGTTATTCATGTTAAGTAATTATATATAATTAATTTATTGTGCGATATGTTTCATTTGAACACTAAAATAAAGCAAAAATAATAAAAATTATTAAAAACAAAATAAACTATAACTATACCTTTGGTACAAAAATTAAACTTATTAGACAAATCTAGTTATGTTTAAAGTTGATAAAATATTATATTTTTCTTATTGGTTTAGTTTTTCTAACCTGTACACTTGAGACCCTGATGGGTAATGCCGTGCAACATAGATCCACAATGGTCGCAAAAAGAAGGTGTGATATACGTATGAAGATCCCATTGATGTTTCGCCGTTTCGGCCTAAATATATTCGTTCATCAGAAATGGAAAGTTTTAAAGACGTATCGAGTTCAATAAATTTTTTTTTTCGTTTCATTAATTTGTTTTTCTTTATGATAAAGTTGTTTGAAAATTGATCATTAACCGAAAGGTTCGTACAAAAAATAGCAAAACAGAATAACGTGCCATACGTCAGGATGACCACTTACAAAAATAATAATAATAAAAGTAAAATAAAAAAAAAAAACGAAAAAAAAATTAATTTAACTACTGTAATAATTATATTCTACTAAAATAATACAAATCTTATAAAAGGAAGTGTACTTTAAAATGTATGAGTTACCAAGTAAAAGCTTTCTTTTGAAACTTAAACACACAAATATTTTTTTTGAAGAGTTCAATATTTGATTGCAAAACCACTAATTTTTAAATTTTTTAAATAATAACAACAAATTTTACCTGAATGATATAACTTACTAAGTTTTTAAATGTAAATAATTATTCCTGAACATTTTCTTGAGCATATTTGATTACAATTATCAAATTTAATTAATAGTAATATTTTATTTTTAAAAATTAATTGTGTTTTGTGAAAAATCCTTATACATAAATACAAAGAATTAAATCTTAGAGCTTATAACTTTTTTAGATGCGAGAACTCAGAAATGTCAATATCACAAAGCTCATATTAATTTTAATATTATTGGTTATAACCCATATGACAATAATCTTATTAATTATAACTTGAATACTTTAACTTAAAACCAGTAATGACATAATATTATATATTATAAATATATGTATATATATTACTATTATTTTTATAAAAATATTAAGTTAAATAGTAAAATTATAAACTATACGAAAGTTCAATAAATATTGAATGGCTATAAAAAATACATTAGTAGGTATAGTATTATTACTGTGCATGGTATAAACATACAATCAATCCACAGTAAACGATATAGGCACAAAAAATGTAAAAGAATTTAAACTTAGGGTAACGTAATTTTCAGTTTTAAATATAAAAAGGAAATAACATAAAAAAAGTTCGTAATATATATTTTAGATGAAAAAATATATGCTAAATTAAGGGAGCCAAGATAATAACCGTAATAATAATGCAATTCATATGTTAATAGTTAAAAGAATTGAAATTTTTAAATCATTTATTTTCATGCATTATTTTTAAACAGCAATCAACCCTTTTTTTTAAATCTACTCTACGTATAAAAATTCTAATTAAATGTATTTATTGAATTCTTGATTAATACATAATTTTATACTGAGAGTACACTTCCTTAGTTAAAAACAAAAATAACAGTAAAAATACCAATTACAAAAATAAAAAACATTTAAATGAGGTCATACACTATAATGAACTAATATTATTACACTATTTAAGTTTTATTTTAAAGATTGGATTCATGTATGGAGTATTGATATAAAACTCCGAAATTAATAATATTAAAAATTCAATTATGTTCAAAATGAATAACACTAATTATTTATATGGAAAGAACAGATCTTATTAACGAGTATTAAAAGATAATTAGACGTATATATATAGTATTAAATATAAATATAATATTTAATTTTACCGACAAATATTTATTTTTTTTAAATTTTAATACATTTTGTAATGTACATTTCGAATGTCAACTAAAATAAAAAGCTACTCAGACGCTAAAATAGATTAATATACATTTAGTATAATACACCCATTTAATCAATTAGCATAATTACATCAATATATACAACGAAAAATATATCACTATCAGAAAAATGTTTGTTTATATATATATAATAATGGTATAGATATTTAAATGAACAAAATGTATACTAATAGAAGTAAAGAGGCCCGTTTTAATTTAAAATATGACATACACTATTCGTATAAATACTTTATTGAGTTTTAATAAATAACGGGGAAATAGCATCGAAAAATAAAATAAAATGATAAAATATATAATGAATTAAATGAGTAAGAACATGAAATAAGAAGTAATGTTTTACAAATAATACAAAAAAATTAATTTAAAAAAAAACTGTTATACTTTTTAGGTTTAAATTCTTGCTTTTTTTTTTTTTAATAAACCATATTTACTTTTATTCTACTAACATATTTTCTAGTACACAGTGATTCTGGGTCACCATAAGTTATAATATATGTATTATTATATACTTCTAAACTTGCTTCCCCGCGGCTAACCAACGTCGTAACGTCCTCGATGATGATTCAAACACGGCGAAGTGAATATACCCCGAAACTCTATTTATGTGTAAATATACACATTGTGAGTATGTATACAACACGAATACAAAGTATATTAATAGTTAATTAGGGCTGTTGCTGTTGGTTGCGCAGAAATAGTGGTTATACCGGTATCGTTCTACAGCTCTCACCACCGTTTGTGTTAATGTAATGTGATTATTATTTTAGAAAACTCTCGTGCAAGCTTAAGAAGAATATATAGTGATTTTGAATGGCGCAGTCTATTTTTAAATGCTCATTGTTGTTAAAAATAAAAATTAAAAAAATGTTATAAAAAGTAATGTAGAGAACACAGGCAGGCATTCAGGTAGAATTCAGAACAAACAAAATAATAAAAATACAAACACACATGAATATTGTTTTTAAAAATGAAGAAATTAAAAATAATATAAATTATAAAAATATATATGTATATATATATTATATATATATAATATATATAGTATATATATTATGTCTCGGATTTGCTGACCTTCGCATTTCATTCCCTGATGTATGACACCGTACAATAATGAGCCACAATGGTCACAAAATGCCGGGCTAGCGTAGGAATGCACTTTGAACCTGTGCTCGGTCCTGGAAGACTAGCCAGAGAAAATATTTTGTTATAAAGTGTAAACAATAAATCGAAGAAGAAAGAAAATACACCAGAACGATTTTAAAACTTCAAACACTGCTCCACTTTAATCGTGCTTACTGAAAAGACATAATTTGGCTAAATGAATTAAATTATTTTTTTATCATTAACTTTAATCAGTCAATAAGTGTCTTTTATTCATCTTAATATTCTAGTGCACCAACTTTTTTTTGACTAAACGTTAAAATTTATAAATCTTAATTTAATAACGTAAACAATATATAAATTAACATCTAAATGAGCACTTATAGAGTAAAAACTCTAGTCTTAATAACTAATTTTAGAAGGAATAATGTAAAACAAATATTTAATACCTACAATATAAAAAAAAAAAATTATTAAAATAATATGGATTAATAACATAAACCATCTTCAATAAACATAAATTAAATTAATTTTTAAGAAAATACTGAAACTATATATTTAAATATTCCAAATAATTTACAATAATACACATTTTTTTTAAGTATTTTAAGAGTTATATAAATATATATTTTTATATTAATTAATCACTTAAAAAAAATAATCAATCTAAGGCCGGTATCAATTCAAAACATAAATATTTTGAAACAATAAGTTTTTTAAAATAAATCCGGCTTAAAAAAAAGTATAAAATGGATAAGTATATTCTTTCATTTAAAATAAAATAAAATGTTCCTTATGACTTAGTAATTATCCAACAAAACGTATTTATTCACAAATGTATTATAACAAATATTTTACTTCAATATTAAAATTAATAATTAATTTTTTCATTTGATAACAAAATAATTTCAATATAATTACTAAATAAAAACCAGAAAATAGATCACTATAATTTGCTATAAAAAATATTTTCACGATAAACAAGAAATAAAAATCGTCAATAAATTTAATTATAAATACTTAATATATTCTGTTAACTTAATAAGACAACATATGAAATAAAAATAATTAAGTAAAACAAATTTCCTGCTTTAAAATGATTCACTAATATTTTTGCATTTTGAAAGCATTCTTGTATCTCAACTGGATATAAGAAAGGCAACCGGAAAATATAGTTAAAAAATTGACTTGATTTGAAATTGTATTGTTTTAAAACTTAAAAGAACGATTAGCAGGGACTCAACTCACCTACTTGAAAAAAATATCGGGGGCACAAATCACCTACTTGAAAAAAATATCCGGGCCGCAATTCTCCTAGCTGAACATTAACATTTTATTTATGGGACGTAATTCACTGAACCTGGGAAACTCATTTCACTATGTTCACTTGAACAAGTGTAGATTTATCATCATAAATTTCAAACTAATGATTTTTGCATTTAAAACAAATAATTTTTAGCAAATATAGTTTATAATCAAGAACTAGAGGGAAATTATTTTAATTAAAATTTAATTAAAGAATATATTTTAGTAAAAGTAATTTGAGTAACCTGGAACAAAACAACAAATCAAATACTTTATTCCATTAAAATGTAGGTATATAAGATTATGTAGTTTAACCATTATTAAAAATAATAATAAACCATTATAACATCGTCATAAACTAATTCAAAATTTAATGTACCTTAATGTTTGTTTAACATTTATTGCTTATAATTTTGTTTTTTTCAGTATTACAAATTTTAAGTTAGTCATATAACTATCAAAAGACGGTTAAAAACAGATAATGATGAAATCTTTGAAATATTATCGGTGTTAAAAAGTTGTATTTTTCTCTAGTTACAATAGGAAAATACCAAAAGTTGAAAGACGGTTCTTATCAATAGATGAAAAACTGATCAAATATTAGAATTCTAGTACAACAAATTTGACATATTTCCAACAGAATTGTGAAAATTAGAAATTAATTAATATAAGCAATAAATAAAATTGTGTAGTTTTTATAATTCTTGATAATTTTGAATTAGGTACGCTCCACTAGGAATGATTTTTTTTTAAACACGATTGTTTATTATTGCTTTCAAAATTAAAATAATAATATAACACAAGATAAAATTATCTAAAAAAACAATGAAGTTCTAAAACAAGTTCTAAGGTACAATACTGTCACAGTAACGAACTTAATTGAAAATTTAGTAAATGAAAATGAATACTATAACAAAAAGTTACAAAGTAAAAACAAATCAACATAAACTATGAAAAGTAAAAATTAAGTTTCTAAGGAAATATTTAAAAAAGTGGGGTATCATATATGAATACCATTAAAGTTTATACATTATCATATACTTAAAAAAGAATTTATATTTTAAGATTATTAACTTTTTATTTTACCTTAATTTTTAGCTATAACGCTATCATTACTTCACTTAAAATTTATTAAAATTAAATATTATGAAAGTACAAGTATTTCTCAAATTGTAATCAACATAATTTTCGAGATATACACTTATTTTGATACAAAATAAAGAATAGGGTAAAATTGTAAATAACGACTTCTTATACATCGAATCATAGTATAAAAGCTAATAAATCGAAATCTTTACTATATTAAAAAACAATATCTTACTACCAAGTATTTAAATAAGAATATTAAAAAATTGATGAAATCTAAAAAAATGTATTAAATATTGAAAAAAAAATTGTGAAAATATTAGGTATTAAAAATATATTTACATGGTTACATGATTATACATAGAGTATTCAATAATTTTATCATCACTGTTGTGATTCATCAACAACTTTATAATTTGAAATTTAAAACAAAAGACGATTTAATTTTGGAAGTATAATAACTATAATTGAATTAACATTATAAACAATGCAATTAAACTAAAGATATCAAATTTTCAGAATTAAAATATAAACTCAATCAATTAACAAATTTATTTTACTGCTCGATTTTACTAACCGATTAATCGACTTTTTTTTTATTGACTGATTAATCGATCAATCGACTTTTTTACAAAAGTTAAATTGATTCCTTAACTTCTACACGATTTTCAACAAGATTTGCAGAATGAAATTTTGATGTAGATATCCACTTTTATAATATTATCCTTAATACATTTCGAATCATTGAACTCAGAACATCATATTAGCATTTAGCACAGATTTAAAATTTAAGTATGTAATCAGGTAATCTAATATTATATATTATTAATGTATATATATATATATATATATTGATTGATCAGAAATTCGATTATTTTGATAATTTGATTAATCAGAAATTCGATTACTTCCATTATTTGATTAATAAAAATTCGATTATTTCGCGATTAATCGAATTTTATAAAAACTGTATAATAATCGATGGGGAAAAAATAATCGTAATAATCGATTAATTCGAAATAATCGAACAGCCCTATTTAAGCATAGAAATTACAAGTTTTAAAAAATGTGTTATACATGAAACTCTTTTTAATGGAATAATTACATAACTTGCTTTTTGAAAAAAAATTATTGCATAAAATCAGCATTTCAAAATAAAATATATGTTATAAAAATCACAAACAGCAAGAATATAAACAAATATTGTAATATTGTAGGTCAGATATTTTGTACGCTGTTGCCATCTGTTGAGCTCGGTCATCGATCGCTGTTATACAACAACGCGTGACTGTATGTGGTCGCTAGTGAGCTTACACCTTTTAATGTGCGTGCTTTCACCGCCAAAGATATGACCCAATTCCAATCCTTACGATCTGGAGAAGCTGTACCACACATATATATATAATAAAGACATCAACTACTTCAGAAAACTAAACTCCAGAGATTAAGACTAGAAATTCCATCAATTACATTTTCATAATTTCGAGATTTCCAGTAAAACATAAAACATTTATATCCCTATAAATTGTAATAATGCATTTAACTACAAATTGATCAATTAATTTGAAATGTATATTAATCATTTAAAATAAAGCCATTTACTTTTAATAGAATACATAAAAATCAGAAAAATGTATATTTAATATATTTTTTTTATATGAAATCTAATTTTTGTAGAAATATATTAGCAAAACTAAATTAATTATCATTTTAAATAAATTGCAGTACTTAAAACCAGTCTTATATCAACAAATTTTTAAATTAACTATACCAATTCAAAGACTAAACTGTTAATATATAGAAATGATCATATAATACACATTTAAATTTTAACCTTATTTTCACCAATAATATAAAAATAAAAATTAAATACCCAAAATTTTATCAGAGTATAGGACAATAAATATTAAATTTCTTCAAATAGTAATGCTATTTTCGAAATGTTTTAGATTAAATGATAAAAATTAATAACTATTTTAATAAATTTTACTTAACCTATCAAAATATAACATAATAAGTTTTATCAAAACAGACTATAGTTATAATAGAAAACTTGTTAAGTAAATAATAATATATAATGCCATCTGATTACAATAATTATTATTATTATTCATCTTATATTACAACTATTAAAATAAAAAGAAAATTTAACCAAATCAAAGTATGTGATTTGTCTTATACAGTTAACTCAGCGAATTAATATTCATTTATATATTTGCAAAAATATAGAAATATAAAGATAATACACATCTTGTGCTATTTTGAATAAATAATTTTATATAAGTTTTTTTTTTTTTTTTTATACAGATGTATCAAATAATCAAGTGAAAAAAAAAACAGATAATTATTAAAATAATCTTCAAGTTTAAAAATGTGAAACCGTTTATAATGTTAATTATTAAATATTTGTTAGTACTATTATTAGAATTAGTTACATAAACTCAGTACATAAATATATAGTTGAACGATTATTTTAGTATTTATTTTATTGTAGAAATACTTAAGCCTGGATCCCTAGAAGCATATAACATCAAAATAGTATTTATTTCATTAATTAATTGGGCTTAACAAATATTTTTTTAACAAATAAATACGTTTTGTTGAATTGACGACGGAAATGTATCAAAATTGCCTATACAAGTCGCCGTTTAACAATATATAAATTAAAAATACTGAATGCAACAAATATTCACTAAATACTAAAGTAACATAAAATCGTCAAGTATGTATTTCTTTTAACTATAATTTATTCATTATTATAAACCTAATAATTAACAGATCAATTAAATCAGATCCAAACGTATGGTGGCCGTCCTGCTTATTATGTTTGTAAAAATATTGTCGATACAGAAAAAAAACTATTACTACGTTAATATAAAATTAATAATAATAAGATTACTTACATCAGAATCAGGTCCTTTGTCAGCTCCGGGACATGTAAAGGAAACAAATTCATGACAACGTTTGTGTACCACAAAACTGCATACTGAAAAAAGAATATACCAAATAAGTAAAATTTTTAAAAAATATATTTTTCATATATAAGCTCTCGAATTTCTTCTCCGAATAAATGTTAAGCTTAAAATTAGTATGAATAAGATATATTTGAGGTGAACAAGAAATTATTATGAAAAACAAGTATAATCGAATTTTTTCTTTAAAAATAGTTGGCTACTTTAAATTAAGTTCACAAAAACTCCTATTGCTAATTAATTAAACATATTTTTTTTTATTTATTTTTTTTTTTTTTTTATACAAATTTCAACCATATTTTTTTATTTAATAAAGAAATAAAGAAATCAAGTTTTCAAACATTGTTATCCATATAAAAAAATAATGATTCATTGGTTTGTGAATTTATAACAAATAATTTATAAAAACAACATAAACTTTATTAAAATTTTATGACAAAACAACCAAATAAATAAATAAAGTTTGATTAAATAAGCCAAATTTCGAATAATCATAAATATTATGCTCATCTCATTTTAAAAGTTAATATATTTTAGTATAAAATACGACTAACTGTAAATATAAATAGCTTATACTAGAAGTATTAAACTTAAGATAAATAAATAAACAATGTTAAAATACGAGTTTGTAAGGCACTTCACACAATATCTATAGATTTCAAATAAATACCTAACTAATAAAAATATACAAATAATATTTTCCATGTTTAAATATTTTATTAGAATCAATATAATTACTCGTATTTAAATTTAATATTTTTAATTAAATTTAGTAGAAAATAATTCGCAACAAAATATCTAAATTATCATTAAATATACACACCTGTATACAATATGAATAAGGGAGAACATGCAATGAGCTTAGCTATTTTTTATAACTATAACTATTTGTTATAGATGTTATTCATACAAAACTATATTATTTGCTTATATAAATCGATATTTACGTCAGTCAAAAAAATCAATTTCAAATTAAATAAAGTATTTTATGTATTGAAATTATTATTTTTTTTTTTTTTTTAATTTATCAAATCGTATTAAGATAGAAACTAAAATAATTAACACGATTTAATAATAATATTGATATTCTTAAGACATAGACAACATTAAATAAGAATGATAGTGAATTATATTATATAAAAGACTATATACGTAGATTGAACACAATGACATATTATTTCAGCAACCATTGTATTTGCAAATACATACGCCAAATTTAATTTAATATTCATTGTATGTAAGTAGGTAGATCAAGGTCTATACTATTATACACATAATAAATAATTATCCACGCAGACGCTATTAATGCGGGGAAAAAGTTAAGAAAGGTTTCTTTAGAAAAAAGAACAATCGGCTTAACGAGTGGTACTCTAAATAATGATTGACATGCCTTGTTGTGAATAAATGATAAAAGAATATAATAGCCAGGTTGTTCTCGATGTTCTAGTGTCTTAGACAAAAAAGACCGCAGGATGAAACATTACTAAGCCCATCGTATGCCAGACGATGACAATATCAGATAAGTGAAAAATTAAGGAATGGGGATTTATTATTCTCCTAATCACAATTCCATTTTATTATGCAATAGTTAATACGTAGTTTTACCTTACAGTATCAGTAATTTCACGTTAAACATACAATATCACATTTAACGTATATTCAATAACAAATAAAATGAATTGTTTGATGATATTTAAATAAAAAGGAATATTCCAAGAAATTTAATTTATTAAAATTCAAATTGATAAAAATGATTTTGAGAAAATGTTGAATTGAAAAACGAGGACATAAAGTTTAAATATAAATCATGTTATTATATTATATGTAGAACATTTCAACACCAAAAATACTTATTTAACACAAAGCATTCTAATGTATGTGCAACTAGCAACGAAAAACTCTTCTTAATATTCGCTTAGTGATTCTCAAACGAAATTCTATTAAATTGGCACGTATTGGACATAACATTTTTTTTTTAAATTAATGATAAAATGTGCAACATTCAAGTGATTGGCCTACATTAGATTTTACACAAATTACACAAATTTATACATTTAATAGTTAATAAATAAACATTGTAATTTATAAATATATTTATATTTTTTTTTACTGTAACTAATGTAAATTAATGAACAAATAAATAAATATTAATAAATGTATAAAGTATCTTGTATCTTGTATTTAAATACTTTTTTTAAATATCTTGGCCAATACAATAACATGCATGTATGCGAAACTAGTAAAGCTAATATGGGTCGTAGTTCCTAGTAAATAATAATTTATTGTTGGTAAATTTATGGTGATGAAATAGTTATATTTCAATTTTAAAATAATAACTAAATATAAATAACATAAATATATTAAAAAAAAAAAAAAATGGAACCAATACAAATTATTAGATATTTTCAATTTGTACTCGTTATCCAATAAATACAATAATAGTTACAATCGCAACTACTGAGAAACACTAATAATGAACAAATACATTGAAAACGTTTACTTCTAAAGTAAATTACATATTGAACCCAAAAAATATTAGTATAAAATTGTACTATGATCAATAAGTTATGTGCTAAACGTCTCAAATTAAATGAAATAACTATACGATTCGGTAAACTCTATAAAATATTAAGTTTTACTAAGTTGTAAATCAAACCAATTTATTTTTTAGTCCTTTATTGTTTTTATTCAACTAGTTTTGAGTATTAAAAGAAGAACTTCTAATCCATTAAGATATTTGATAGTCTATGAAATAAATCAACTTTCTAAAATTCCATGAACGCAATGACGTTCATGGATTAATAATATTAATAAGAAATAAGATTATTACTCTTGTCACGTTTGTATTAATTATTAGATGCATTAAATACGTATATTAAACATCAGCAATAAAATTTTAAACGACTTCATAAATGCAAAACATGACACAGAAATAATAATATGATATTCATTATTGCAATCAAAAATCATGATACAAATCTATAAATATGTATTAAATAATAAATAATAATCATATTAATATTTTATTCTAAAATATATACTAATTAATTATTGGTATATTATAAAGTTTTTATTGAAGATGATAAATAGGAATAGAATAATATTTCAGAGAACCACAGTAATAAGATTTTAAAAATATAAATTATTTTATCTAAACATACTGAAAGTAAAAATTAAGACAGTCAACCAAATAGATAACTGCTAAGAATATTTTAGAAAACAATGTTTAAATTGGTTATGAAAATTGTATAAGTGAAAATAATGACAAGATGTAACGAAAATGTTTCCCAATAAAATACCAAAGTTCAATATTTTAATTTACGAACATTGATAATGCTATAAACCAATAAAAACTATAATACATAGATTAAGTTAAAATAATACAAATAATAAAATAATTAGAATTTACTATCTCATTTTTCATAAATATAATTTGCTACTTTTTCGATTGTATAATCTCTAAATGCCAGGACTTTCTTAATTATATGAATATTAATTTGAGTTTCAGATATTAATATTACACCATCGTTAGAATATTTAAGGAGAAAAAAGGGCGTAAAATATGAAAGACATGATAAACATTTTAGCAATAAAAAATGTTGCAATTGTGCATCAATGTTGTAAAAATCTTGCAAAGTTTAATGTTGGTCATCGTAGATGAAAATCGAGTTAAATGTAGGACTATATTCTTATAGACCTATAATTATAAGATTCACGCTTCTGAAGTGCTAATTTAAGTCTTAAGAATAAAATTTGTTTCTCACCAAATTTTAAAATATTACTATAAGCTATAAAATTACTTCCACTAAATATAAAACAAATTATATTTTATTATAATTCGTAAATAAATAATCCTAAATATTCGGTATTAAGTCATTTTTTTTTTCAAATGTATGATTTTTTATTCTTTTTATAGTATAAGTGGAGATATTGCTTGTTGAATCATTATGCAAGAAAATATATCACTTAATGGTAGAACCAAAAAATATTTAAAACCTATTGTAACTTTCTCTAAAAAAAAAAAAAAAATTAAAATAATTTCAATAGCATCTATAGTTTTTAGGTATTAATATTCTCAATAAAATTTTCTGTATAAAAATATAAATTAATGAATATAATCATTTTTATTTCATTATTTCTATTATCAATAAATGTGATAAAAAAATAAATACAATAACATGTGATATATTAATATTTAAATCAAAAATAATTAATATACAAAACATAAGAATGATTTATATAATGAAGTATATATTTTAAAAGTCATATTTTTATTTATATTTTTGACATGTCAATTAATAAGTATTCTTCTAATTTTTATAGTAGGTAGATATTACATATAGAATAAAAAATTGTTTATAGAATCTCCAAGAATGTTAATCTATAATATCCTACATGGGACAAACTGAAAATTGAAAAAAGTACAAACATTAAAAATATAACATATAAGTTTATGTAACGTAATAATAGAAAATTTATCAAATAAAATATAAACTAGAACAAATCTTATCATTACTTTCTAAATAATATTTTCCACGTAAAAATAAATTGAAATAATTCGGAAAAATCATATAAAAAATGGATATAAGATTTAAACTTTATATAATGTAATATTATAGTACCTATACATAACATAACCAATATCAACGTTTTTATAGTAAAATTAACATATAAATTATCTTCAACTAAAACTATTCTAGTATTTATATTTTGTAAATTAAATAAAAAATAATATGACATATTATATAGGATTATATAATATGTAAAGTTTAAGAAACAAGTTTCGAGACTGCCATTGATCGTGACAAGTGGAGAGGTTTAGTAGAAGCTGCGAAAGGCCTTAAGAGCCCATAAAGCAAAAAAAAAAATTATTTAGGATTAGAAAAATAAAAGTAAAAAGTAAAAGTGAGTAAGTATAAAAATAATTAACTTAAGTCGATAAACTGTATGTTTTGTAGACTATCATTTTTTTTTTATTTATGAAGTTAAACATTTGCAATACGATTGAATAATA